ACAAATGCAGCTGTCTGGGCTCTCCCCTTCTGGGTCTTATCTGCTTCCCAACTTATTTATCTCTGATAGATTAGTTTATGCTAAGATGTTAATGGCTGACTAGTTTAATGGGTTTTTATCTAAAAGAAATTTGCATTTTTAAACGGACTTTGAGAGGGAGATGGGATCTTTAAATCCAAAGGAAGGAGCTCCGCGTGGGTGGCTAGGGGCACTGTGGGGCAGGCTACAGTGGGGACGTCTGGTGACCCCGGCCCACAGCAGGCCATGGGCATTTCTGGTGCTGCCCCCATACAAGACCCCAATCCCCACAAGCAGCCAGATCATTCCCCTGAGGGTCTGCCCTGAACAGTCTTCGTTCCCTCCAGTGGGAGAAGCTGCCGCCTTCAGTGGGAGTTGGTTGTGGCTGTGGTTGCTGCTGTCAGGGCTGACTAGGGGCGGCAGGATGGGACCCCACTTCTGTGCGCAGGGGCTTCCGTCTTTTAAACATCTGTCCTATACGGAGATGACTGAATTGCAAGTGTGCACTGATACAATACATTAATTTAGTTATTGAAACATAATTTAACACTAGTGATTTTTTTTTTTTTAATATATCTATTGATTTCAGAGAGAGAAAGGGAGAGAGAGCGATAGAAACATCAATGATGAGAGAGTCATTGATCGGCTGCCTCCTGCATGCCCCCAACTGGGGATCGAGCCCGCAACCTGGGCATGTGCCCTGACTGGAAATCAAACCTCGATCTCCTGGATCCTAGGTCGATGCTCAACCGCTGAGCCACACCCAGCCGGGCAACAATAGTGATTTTAAAACGAGAGAACAAGTGCCTGGGGCACTCTTCGTGTGCCCTGTGCCAAGATCAGCTCAAAGCCACTGCCTTTCACTGTGCCATTCTAATCTAGTGGCTGAGAATCGGAGACCTTTGACCCCTGTGATTTTAGATGATATTGTACTCATAGCCATGCTTCCATCCCATGGCCCAGAAGGAAACTGATGGGCCCATGGTCCTCCAGTTAGCTTGAAAGGAGGAATAAACCCGCGTTTTCTGCCCTTCAGATCTCTGCTCCCTTCCCAGACCCCCTTACCTCCAGCTCTGTAAACACCTGATGAGCAAGTCACTCAGATACTAAGCTGACAGCGTGTAGGCTCAGGAGCTTGTTCCTCTAAGACGCTCCTTAAAAGTCCCAATGCAGGCAGTTGTGTCCCACGCTCTGGCCTCACACATGCTCAGTGGACTTCTCAGAAGATTCAAAGAATTAATGGAATCAGGGCTTGCGAAAGGTGAGCGTTTGACATTCCTCCTCCTGCAGCCAGGCTGGCCTTTGCGTACCTCGTCTTGTTTCCCGCACAGGTGACAGACACCCCCACGGGCCCCCTTGGGTTCTACTCCCACAGTGCACCCAGCCTGAGGGCCACATCACAATGAGCCCCTGCAGTCACTGTGAGGCTGGAGGCAGAGTTGAGTGTCCACCCGAGTCCTTTCCAGAGAAGGGAGCCTCACCTCTCCCCAGACTCCCACGTCTCTGCTGAGAGAGGCCACTCTCTTAGGACCCCCCTCCTTGCCTTGTTAGCCACACTTCTCACCCAGCATTGCTGCCAGGAGACTTGAAACCCCAAGTGACAGAAAGAAAACAAAATAAGAAGGTCGGCCTGCTCGCCACCAGTTGGAAACTACATGCTGTCTGAAAGTGTCCCCACAGGCAGAAGAGAGCCCAGGGTAGGCAAGAGAGGCTCCCGCTCCCCGTCTCCGAGCTGTGAGGGCCTCAGCCCAGAGCCTCGGGCTCAGAGTGTGCTCCTGTGTACACACTGTCTACAAATTCTAAAGCATCTTGTGTTTCTTTCAGCTCGGAACGAACAAGAGGAACAGGAGGAGAAAAGAGAGATCAAGAGGAGGCTAACTAGAAAGGTGAGAAAGTTCTCCGAGAGCTGGGTAGGAAGGGGCCGGACACCTTCCGCTCCTGTGCCCTCTGCTGACCTCAGTGGCCTGGCAGCTGCCCCGCCCGCTGGGAGCAGTGTTCGAGGTTCCACATCGCTGCTGTCAGAGTAGGCCGCTGTCTTGACTCCCCAGGGAACCATGGTCAGCTCAGCTGCATGACCTTCAGTCCTTTTGTCTGGTGACATTCTATGTTGCTTGATTTTGTGACACTCACCTGCCCCCAAGCAACTTGAGGTCAAGTGAGCTATATTTTCAATTACAGTGAATATTTTAGTTTTAAAGATGTACTCTGACCCCATCAATTAATTGGAAACTCACTGTCCAAATCAGCAGTTCAAATATAACACAGTTCTTTGCTATGACCTTGGGAACATAGGAATTTTCCTTTCCTCCCCTGATACTATGCCTTATCTATTAACTAAACTATTTGACTTGATTATGCTAAATGCAATTTGGAGTACTGAGTTAGGAAAAAGCCTAAAGTACTGATAAATTTTTGAAGGTGTTTGAAAAGCACTTAAGATAAAAGCTATAAAGGTATACTTTTATATTTTTAACCCCCAAAATAGATGGCTTGGCAATGCACTGTAGACCCAAATGGGTTTAATTCTACATGAGTGGTGGCTTCTTTAATAATAAACTTACTGAGGCTATTCTTGGATGGTGTTGACAAGTTTAATTAATTGATGACACACAAGATATAATAGTATACTCTGTTTGATGAGAGTGGTTTCAATCAGCCTCCTGCAGTAACCACCTTGAGAGAAAGGTTCTCAAATCTCAGCGACAGTTAAGAGTCCCATTAAAATTAATTTTTAAAAGGTTTATTAATGGATTTTCCTCCCTAAAAATATTATGCAAAGGAAGAAATTCAGATATCCAAAAATATCATACCAATTAGGAAGGTGATGACTTGTGTGTCTCAACACTCCCCTCTCCCTTAGAGCATCCTGGACTCCTGGTGAGGAGCCAATGCTATCCCAGTGAAAGGGGTATGATACCCAAGTGCCGGAAAGGACAGTGACAGGCCGCATCCCCCTGGTGGGAGCTGGAACGAGAGCTAAGTGAGCTCCCTTCTTCCAGGTGCCCTCACCCCAGCCACAGCCTGATCCTTTACATCCGTAAGACCACCTGGTCTGTGGACGCAGGGCATCCCTTGTCCTGAAACTGAGTAGTGAGGACGATGCGGGGAGGTGCGTTAGCTTGTTCTAAGAGTGACCTTGAAATGACTATGGTATCAAAAAGGGGTTCATTTCTGATACAGAAAGACCTAGACATTCAGAAAAAAATTTAAATGCAGTTTTCCTAAAATTCATTGGAGTTGATTGCTGGGACCTGAAAATTCTCCTAAAGGGTTCTCCTTTAAGGGTTTCTAAAAACTAGTAGTATGAAAATACTTAAACAGCCAACTAATTCTTATCTTTTTAAAAAGGGTATATAATTTTGTAGAGAAAAAGTTGACTAATTGCATAAGTGGGCAGGGAAAAGGGAGGAGGGTTCCATCCCACACCCATTTCCCGGGGTGGGCTGCACAGGGACAGGGACCTCAGAAACCCCAGTGTGTTTGTAGGGTCTCCTGGACAAGACTAATGCCTCCTCCCCTTCCTGGCTCCCGGGCCTTCCTCCGGGGAACACTGCCTTGTCGTGCCAGCGTCCCGCTCCCTGGGACTGGCTTGGGGAACTAGAAATGAGCTTGAGTGAAGGGATCATTTTTAAGGGAGAGACTAGAAGAAGCCTTCACGTACTTTTCTGTTGAGAGAGAGGTGAGGCTGCCAGCAGGCGGGGAATCCCTTAAAACTGGTCTGGACAAGTGTTCTTTCTCTGGGGCCTTGATCACACCAAGACCAGGTGCCAGCGGCGGTAGCTGCTTTTCAGTTGCTTACCCTTGGCCCGAGGATCTCCTCAGTGCAATTCTATTTAATTTTAATATACTAGGGAGAAACATAAAACACAGTAGCTGATGCCGATAGCAATAGAACGGTCATTTTCTTCAACCAAATTGATACTCACCTGAAAACTATGTTTTGTCTTTTAATAAATACCTGCCTCTCCCTTCCAAAAAAAATGCTAACTAGCAAAATGGATAGATGGATAGATGATAGATAGATAGATAGATAGATAGATAGATAGATAGATAGATAGACGATAGATAGATAGATAGATAGATAGATAGATAGATAGGCGATAGATAGATAGATAGATAGATAGATAGATAGATAGATAGATNGAAGGAAGGAAGGAAGGAAGGAAGGAAATTCACTTGGGTCAGGTTATATCAGTACTGAAATTTGGGACTCAATTAATTACTCTTTTGNGGAGGGAGGAAGGGAGGGAGGGAGGAAGGAAGGAAATTCACTTGTGTCAGGTTATATCAGTACTGAAATTTGGGACTCAATTAATTACTCTTTTGTTGACTATTTGATTGTAAATGATATTATAGCTGCCATAGATACATAATGCTACCAACCCCTGTTCCTGCCTCTTCTTCAGTCCACCATCCCTAGAAAACCAGCTCTTGCCACAAAGATCACCTCCTCATCATCTGAGGAAGGACCTTGGGTTCCCATGCCCCAATGGCTACAGCCAACCACCAGCTAAATGGACATCTCCCGATGTCCACCCACACATGGAGTCCCGGCGGCCGTTGGTTAGTCAGTCCACACACCTGAGACTCTCCCAGCAGAAGGCATCCCATCCCCTCTTCAGCAGTTGGGCGAAGTGCCCTATTGCCTTGGAGAGATCGTGTCTAGAGCTCCCCTGGGATTCAGGCATGAAAAATGCCCCTGACCTTCAGCGCTAACATTTAGTTTTCTGTTCCCTCCAGACTCTGCCATCGACAGCTCTTAGTAAAATCTAGGTCATGATTTCCGGAAACATAAACTACAAATTCCATGCTTAACAACCTTTCTCCTGTCATGGAACACTTCGAAAATACTACGTTTTGTCTAGCACCCTGGGGTCAACCTTACCTTGCTAGTCCTAAGCAACATGAACTGGGGATTTTGAGTAGGAATCCTCCCGTTATCTGTGGTAAATATGATAAACATTTAATGTTTTTATGTATTTTAATGACAGTACAAAAGCTCCCCCTACTCCCCGTTTTAGAGTCAGGCTGGATCCACACTTTGTTTACGACAACCCCGGCCCTAGAGCCTGGGAGACCTGTGGTTTCCTGCGACGGGCCAGCTCTGATGCCGAAATGCCCTGTCCCAGGAGGACCAGGGCTGCCTCAGGACAGACTAGAACCACCTGAAGTGGGAGCCGCATGTGGTCCAGGCAAAGGGGCCCTGCCACGGCCCCAGGCGCCTCTAGTCCCCAGATCTTCCCCCCGCTGGCCCAGCGGGAGTTGCGGCTGCCCTGGTCCTGTCCAGAGCCTTGCAGACCCATCGGCATCATGTTTAATACCAGCCAGCAGGGGTGTTCTGCCACCGTGGAGGAGTGTGGCAGCCTCAGGAGATAGAGTGAAACCGCCAGGGTGGTGGGATTCTCTCGTGTGTGTGTTTTGTAGACCTTTGTGGTAAGATGTTATATGGACTGCATAGAATTAAGTACAGTCCAGGGCTTGGAGGAAAAGTTGCTTTTAAGTAATATTGGTTAAATGTGAATTAACAGCATCCTAAAGAGAGGGCAGCTGTGTTGCTCCAGAAGAAATAAGCCCAGTGACAGGAAAAGAGAGTAGAAACAGCAGCCTATGTTGTTAACGTACAAAACAGGGCTGCCAGTGGGTGACACAGGGAAGTGGTTAAGTAAATGGGTTCTCTCTTTACGGTTTCCGTCCCTCACTGCAGACCCATCTCAAAGGCCCTCCTGAGGCTTCCTTGGCGTAAACTCAGCCAGGCTCTGCCTTCGTGGGCTGGCCTTTCATGTGACCTTGAGGAGCAGAATCTCCTCTGCCCTGCATACCCCAGAGTTTGCACATACCCTTTTGTGTGTCTAAAACACACACATGTAAAATGATTTACAAGCCCATCTTTCAGAGAGCACTGTATTTGACACACAGATGTGGACTCACAAACCCAAAATAAGACAAAATCTTTGTGTAAGGTTCCTGGCACCTGATGTGACAGATGTGGGAAAATCCTCAACAGATGCCTACACCCACAGGATAAGCTCCTTGTAACAACCAAGACACGGCAGTGTTGCTAAGAAAGCCAGCCAGGCTGTGCAAAGGCCTGGAGGTGGCTCAAGGAATGATAAATCCCTCTCTCTCTCAGTCCTAGAAAAGTCTGGGGTGCAGGAGTCGGGAGCCCTGCCCCTCCCTCTCTGTGTGATGCGTCAGTTGCCTCTCTCGACCTCATTTTGCTCAGCTGTAAAGTCACGGGCAGACNGCTGTGTGATGTGTCAGTTGCTTCACTGGACCTCATTTGGCTCAACTATAAAGTCACGGGCAGACAGGCAAGTGATCTAAACATCTCCAGTTAACCGTGTCCCTGTCTCTTCCTCTTGTAGCTCAGCCAGAGGCCCACAGTGGAAGAACTTCGGGAGAGGAAGATCCTCATTCGATTCAGCGACTACGTGGAGGTGGCTGATGCCCAGGACTATGACCGCAGGGCCGACAAGCCGTGGACCCGCCTCACTGCTGCCGACAAAGTAAGCAGAGGGGCGAGGAGAGGGGTGCAGGCCCCACACCTCGGTTTTGCCCCTGTCCTGGATCCCTCGCTTGCTGCCTGGGATGCTGTATTGAAACCAGCAGCAAAGCTGTGGTCCCCATCCCGGTACTGGAGGCCTCAGTGCTGCTGGGCCAGCTGTGGGTGCTGCTCCCCCAACACCTGGCCCGGGGCTCCAGGTAATGGGCAGAGGTCACAGAATGGACTCCTCACTGCTCTGGAGGGAGAGCGACACAGACACGCGACACTGGGCTGCTTTTCAGGAGGAAAGGCCGTGGGAGGCGGTGCCAAAGAAAGAATGGCAGCTGGCGGCACAGGAGGTTCAGGAGCACGAGGCTCCGCGCGTGTCACAGAGGCCACTTCTGGGTAGACGCCACTGTCCGCAGCACCCAGCGGGGAGTCACAAAACCAGAAGGGGACTGGGTCGCCGGGCCGGCAGCTTTTGTAACCTAACAGCTAAAACAGGACACAAATCGCAGAGAGAGCCAAACACGCCTCCCTGCACTAAACCCCCATCGGTTGGAAAACAGAATAAAAATAGTCTGAAGTTGAGATTGTTTTATAAGAAATGCAGTGGTACAAACGATAAGTCGTTCTTACCTGTCCATCAGATCATGTGGTAAAGTGAGACCCTGCATGGTCGTCGTTTGTGATTCTAGCCCAGTCACCATGAGGAGCTGGAGGGCCAAGGGCCTTTTTTTTAATAATCCAAAGTAATGACTGTGTCCAATATACATGTGACGATGGGGCAGCTCTGGGGCGCACTGCACCTTCTCCTGCAGAGCCCTGCCACCCTTGCCCCACACTGCTCGGGGCCAGCAGCTTCTTTCCATGCCAGCGGAAGGTGGTCAGCTATAGCCCAGACTCTGGCTGGACCGAGGAGCCGCAGGGAAGCGCAGGGAGCCGCTGCACTGGGGGGAACTGCCGTGGGCAGAGGCAGAGACCTCTGGAAATGGCCTCCCCCATGGGGGTCAACCCCCCGCGGATCCTGATGAGTGGAAAACTCAGCCCTCCCCTTAAACGGAGCGCTCATCTCTTCCCTGCGCAGGAGCTCCTGGTGAGCGGCCCCATGAACTGGCCCAGGCAGAACCAGCCCCCCGCAGCGTGTCTGTAAATGTCAGCGGTCGAGGGCCCTGGCCCTGGTTCTCTTTGTTCACACTTTCGCTGCAGGGTGCCTGCTTACTAAGGATGGGGGCAGGACAGGCGTCAAGGGGAAGGACAAGGCGACTCAGGTTCTGAAGAGCTGTTAGGTGGGGACCAGATCCAGCTCCTCCCAGGCTGCTAGGGATGGAGCATAGGACACGGTGCCTTCCTGAAGCTTCTAACTGGGATTTAAACACTCGTGTGCCCTCCTTCCTGAGGGAGCCACTGCGATGCTCCCTAAAGACTTCTCCAGCCTCAGACTCTCACTGCTTTGATATTCCCATCAAAGCAAATATCAGTGTTAGAAAGAGCTCTGCAAAAGGGCACATTTTAAAATTTCAGCCCCTGAGGAAGGAGTGAGGTTTCCAACCGGACACTCTTGTATTCCACACCCTCCTCACTGTCTCTGCCGCCTGGGTCCCCAGCCCTCCCTGTGGGCTGCGGCCAGGCCGTGGGCAGTGCTGGACGGATAAGGTCATTCAGGTTTATCTCAGAATATACTGAAGTTATTCAAAACATCCCATCTTCCATAGTGAGGGAGAATGTTCCCTCAGCATCGAGCCATGCAAGAGGGGACACTTCATAAATCGAAGGGAAGGGGGACGCTCCTCCCCTCCTGGAAGTATCCATCAAGAGGCACTGCTGCGGCTGCGATGAGGTTCAGATTAGTTACCTAAGGAAAACGCGAGGTGGACATTTAAGTGTGTACTTGGGAGCCAGGAGTGTGGGGCAGGTGTACACACACTGTGGAGGCCCGGATGAAGCAGCTCTGTGACGAGAGGAAGAAGGTGCTCTGGGCAATCTCCCACCCAGAATCATTCGCAGTTTAATGTTTTTTGTGTGTTTATTTTTTGTTTTTGTTTTTGTATTGATTTCAGAGAGAGGAAGGGAGGGGGAGAGAGAGATAGAAACATCAATGATGAGGGAGAAGCATCGATCCCTGCCTCCTGCACACCCCCTACTGGGGATCAAGCCTCCAACTCGGACCTGTGCGCCGACCGGGAATCGAACCGTGACCTTTTGGTTCCTGGGGTCGACATTCAACCACTGAGCCACACCGGCCGGGCACGCAGTTTAGATTTAAGGGTAGGGGGAGTCATAGTAGGTTCTAAAGGATATGAGGTGATTGGTTTTTTTTCTCCCAGTGAAAGAATCCACTTTTTATGGCTTTGTCAAAGGGAAAAAGAATAGTTAGAAATGAAATAAAAAGTGAACTGCTTCCCGTCTGCCTCCTGCATGCTCACGGCTCCTCTCCATTCCAGGCTGCCATTCGAAAGGAACTGAATGAATTTAAAAGCACTGAGATGGAAGTTCATGAATTGAGTAGACATCTAACAAGGTTAGTATCGAATGGTGTTTTTTCCCCCTCAAGTTGTAATGCTTACTTCCAAACGACCTACCTGCTTCTGGGTCACCAGTGCTGCGGTGGGCGTGTGACAGAGAAGATAAAGGTTAGCGTTCAGTTCCCACCGTGGTCACTGGAACTGGGGAGAGGGGCATTAAAGGCCCAGGCTAAAAGCCGCCTCTGAAAGCCCAGCGTTTAACTCATTCAAACTAAAAAGCTAAGTACCAGACCATCACCAACCTCGCAGTGGGCTTTCACAAAAACTTAAGCGGAGGAGAAAGGCTCATTGTCCATTGACAGCCAGTGGGCAGAGGCCAAACCTGGCTCACTTCTGTGATTCCCTGCCATTCTCCAGGCGGTCTGGTGTGGCGATGCTTGGGGAAACTGAACGCAGGGAGGGCTCAAGGGCTTATGTAAGGCCACTAGGCTAGGCAGTGACAGAACCAGTGACAATTCTTATGACACTCCCCTTTGGTGAACGTTCAGAGAAATGGGGCCTGGACTGGAGACACAGGTTGAATTCTCCACCTCCCTGCCGTGTCCAGGCTTCAGGCCACCAGAGCCATCTGATTAGTCCCTAGGAGTTCCGATTAAACCATTCCAAAGCCAAAGGTGGATTGGGTGGGCCTCGGGTACTTGGGGAACTTCGGTGGGGCTGGGCCCCTGGTTGGAGATCGAGACCCCCCCTCTCGCTTTCAGAAGCGAGGACTCCGATGGGAAGCTTGGGCTGTGGAACTGGACACCTCAGGCAGCCGCTTGGTCTTGACCCACTTATTTGTTTTCCCAGGTTTCACCGACCTTAACAGGCAGATTCCTCTTGAGTGCTATGCTGTCTTCAAAACATAAATTTATAAGAACCGTAAGTGCTGGTATTTATTCACTTCCCCATCACGATGTAAATCTTCAGAACTGCCTTTTTTAAAAAGAAGAAGAAAAGGAAACACAATCAGGATTCTGTTTGCGAAAACGCGATGGTTACCGCTCCGTGGTCAGAGCTGCTGACACCACCGCGGATCCCGAACTGTATGTGTCCCAGGCAGGGCCAGAGCACCGGCGGGCCTCACGGAAGACTCAGCCCTGGTCCTCCAGCCAGGCCAGGCGGGCGCCACTTCACTTAGGCTCCAGTGACCTTTCCCCAAAAGTATCTGTCACCTACGTCCAAAGAAAGCTGAGGTGGTGGGTGTGGCCTGGGAATGACTTCAAGAAGCAAACGCTCTGGTTCACCTTCTCGGCTTGGCCGGACACACTGACTCCAGGCTTAGCTTCCAGTTTGGGGTCCCCTCAGGAGGAGGGTGCTGAGAGGGACACTGTCGCAGTGGCCCTGTCCTCTCTCCCTCCAGCCATCCTGCATGCAGGGAGCAAAAGGGAAGAGCCCTTTGTCTGGGGGTGTCTGGGGTCGACTGTCAGTCCTAAGAGTGCGTGTGCTCCAGGCATGCAGGCTGACACTGACCGCCCATCCTGTCCCCTCAGACAGAGCTGAGCTGCCCACAGGAAGCTCTGGTTTAGAAGGGGAGAGTTGTCATCTGCTCAGTTCACATGAATTGACCCCATGTATTAAAAGCCCAGTGTCACAGGTGATCTATTGCACACAAACAGCCATTGTTTAGGTGCACCTATGGTATCACGCATTTGAGCATGAGGACCATATGGAGGGCATAAAGGCTGGGGTAAGAAACCCTGCTTGGCTGATGGTCTTCATTTTCTCTGCCTGCACCAAATGGGCTGGTGACCAAATGGCTTGGAAGTTAGTGGCTCCTGAGTAAAGATCAGAAACTATTCCTGAGACTGGCCTTCCAGCCACTGAAGGACTGGTCCTCTAGAACCACTTGCTGGCCTTCTAGTCTCCTTTCTTTGCACTGAAGTTTCTATGGAAAAGCTGTAGGGTTTGGCATAGGCCAGAATCGTGCAAACACCAGCCATGCCTGCCTTGAGCTGCACCTTCCCACTCATGTTTATCCAGGGAGATCCCTTCCTGCCCTCCTGATGCTGGTGAGGGTGGTTGGAGATTTCTCTCTAACTGTCCTCCTCACCTGGGAGCTCAGGAAAGCAGTGCTCTGTTGACCGAGGGACACCGAGTGTAGCATGTGTAGTGAGAGGAAAGACAAGTTCCAAACCCTAACAGCTGTCTTCATGAGGCCCATTGCAGGTCCTTTTTTCCTCCTGACAGAGCTCATAGGGCCCCCGTTGTATCTGGCTGGCCTCCCATGGTGGTCTCACAGTTACCACCATCTTTCCAGGCAATGGTTTGCTCCCTACCGCATGTACCTAGGACTCAAAAGGATGCTGGCTTGGCCTTCACAGCAAAGAGTTAACCAGTTCCCACCCTGAACTGTGTGGGAAGTGAGTTACTCTTGGGATGCACGCCCATCAGTGAGGCCATTTACTCTCTGCAGGCATCCAGGGCTCCTGCAGCCAGCATTAACCAGGGCCTATGCATGTTTGGGAGAGCCTAGGGCAGTTCCTCAAGCAGTGCCCGCCAGCCCCTGCAAAGCTGTCCTATACTTTCTGCGCAGCCCCCGGAGCGAGCACACCATTGCCCAGCCCCAGGAGGACACCATCAATAGGACCTTTTTGTTTTGATCACTGAATCTGAGTAGACAGGGGTAGAAGTATTGTTCAGGGAAAATGTGTGTGGTCAGGATGGTAGTGTGGCTGTAAGCACCATCTTCCCGAAAGGCTTTCTGATGTCTGAATGTGCAGATGGTATGTCAAAAGATGTAGGGCTCTTTCGTGTGACTTCTCTGCGGCGGGCGCGTTTTGGGCAGAGGAGCCTGCCTTGCCAGGAGTTGAGTCTGAGCTTTCTCTAACTCGCTGCTGTGCTTCAGGCGGCTCGCAGTGCCCTGGCAAGACAGGCAGGCTTTCCCCTGGCCCAGGAGTGAGTCCTAAGGGATCTCACTCCATGACCTGGACTCCTCCCACCAAGGCCAGTGGCTTCTCTTCTGGCCTTGGTTCTTGGGCCGATCAGATTCCCTGGGGACATGAGGCCCAAGTCAATTTCCCTGCCACCAGCCAGCCGGCCAACAGTCAGGTTTTCTGAGCAAAGTGGACTGCCCTCCTGCGCAGTCCACTTTGCTCTGAAGAAATCGAATATCTTCTCTCCCTGCAGAGCACTGTTTTCCAGAGGCCACTTGCAGGAGCTAGGGGTGCACCTTCCATGCCACTGAGAGCACCCCCACAGAGGTGGGCAGTTTCAAACCCTCTGTAAGTGGCTCAGCAACCTCAGTGGACCATAGGATGGCCCCTCTGCCATCTCTTCCCTTTCCTGAAATCTTGAGGTCTTTATAGAAATCTATCCAAATTTCTTTTTTGCCACATTGTTATGACAACTGAAAAATGTGTGTTACTTTCCAATATGACAAATTGACATTAATTTGGGGGGAGGGAAGAGAGATGACCTAGTTGGTTTAACAATGCGTTCCTTCTCTGAAAAGCTGCAGTTTTCAAGTAAAGATTTAGTTTGTCCGTATAAATTTCCAATTGGGCCTCTTATCATGAAAGGAAATATGTGAAATTCCTCAAATCAAAATGTTCCCTTCTGAAAATTAGATTAGACCTTGCCCCGACCTCCCCATTCCATCTGCGACAGAACAGTGCCGTCGATCGGCCTGCGTGCTCTTGCGAAATCGCTGTGTTCCTCCCAAAGGCCCTGAAAGCCCTGGAAAACCTTTAAAACTTTAGCCTTTATATCCGATTAGAGAAACCAAACGATGTGATGGTAGATGTGGTGAGAACCTCAGAGTTCATTTTCCTCCCGCTTCTGAACGTGTATTTATATTTGCCGAGTGAAAACCGTGGTGTGTGCTTTGATGAATGGAACTTCCAGCTCTCCCTGTGCACAGCCAGTGTGCGGAGGTCACCTTAAATGAAATGACTTTTTCTTCCCATTTGTCTGTTAGTTCCCAAACGGGTTGCTTTTTCCAGTTGCTTCCCGGGTGTCTGTACATAGTTTGTCTTTGTATAGGAGCGCGCTCTCGTGTTCTAATTTAACAGATGACGGCTGTATGAGGAAGACCGTGTAAATAGAATACAACTTAAACTGGATCTCTATGGCCTAGGTTTTGTACATACAGAAACTGCATGGTATTTAAATTATTGTTTGTCTCTGATGATGTATGCAGTTTCTTTAAAAACAAATCCAAAAAAAGTCTAAAAAAATCATTTTCTTGCCTCCTGTGTGTTTTATTAACCATCAGCAGGAACCACCAAAAATACTTGGTTTGGCTGGGGAAGGGGGTTGGGGGCAGGGGCAGGTCAGCTCATCAGCAAAACCGTAAGGGCTGTGGAGACACAGGACAACCTCATGTATTGGGGTTTATTAGGGAAGGAAGGATTGTTGCACATAACTTTCTAGATAATGTTTGTATGCCAGGACTTTTTTCTTACAAACATTTTTTTAAGAATATCTAAAATTCATTGCCCGGCTGGCCGGGCGTGGCTCAGCGGTTGAGCGTCGACCTAGGATCCAGGAGATCAGGGTTTGGTTCCCGGCCAGGGCACATGCCCGGGTTGCGGGCTCGATCCCCAGTTGGGGGCGTGCAGGAGGCAGCCGATCAATGACTCTCATCATTGATGTTTCGATCTCTCTCTCCCTCTCTCTTCCTCTCTCTGAAATCAATAAAGGTATATTTTAAAAAATAATTAAATAAAATGCATTGCCCAACTATGTCCTTTACTAATCTGGGAGTGACTGTGCATTAGCTCGGTAACTCACTCAGAATCATCTGCATCAGACACCAGACAACCTTCTATTGCAGCAGTGCCTTGGGGGGCATTGGGGTGTCACTGCCTGGAAGCAAGAGCCTCAGACCACTTTACTCTTCAAATACTGACATCAGATTCCTCCTTGAGAGGCCTGAGTATTTGTCCTGTAAAGCAAAGAGCTTTTTTGCTTAACCTTCTGTTCCTAATTTGTCTTTTTGAAGGTCTGGGGGGGAGCAAGAGGGACAGTGCTTGCTGCCTACACTGTAGGGGGTGAAATTACTGGATAACATATCCTGGTCCAGTAGCATAGGAGTGTGGCTCTGGGAAGGAGGAACCCAGCACAGCACTGCTCTCCTGCCCCATTGCTGGGAATCNCTGGATAACATATCCTGGTCCAGCAGCATAGGAGTGTGGCTCTGGGAAGGAGGAACCCAGCACAGCACTGCTCTCCTGCCCCATTGCTGGGAATCACTGGGAGCTTGTCAAAGTACAGGGGCCAACTCTGTAGGTCTGGGGGTAGGGGAGGCGGGGGGGACCCAAGAGCCTACACTTCTAACTAGCTCCCAGTGCATGCTGACGCCCCTGGTACAGCATCACACTTCTGAGCAGCAAGAGCTTGGGACAACAATCTGAAGGGAGCCGCTTTTCCTATGCCTGGGGATCTCCAGCCTCGGAGAAGTGGAGTGACCACATCACTGCTGATGTCCTTGCTGACAGCAGCAGCAAAGCCCCCATGGAAGTCAGCGTCCTGCAGCATTGCATCCAAGTGTCTGAGCTCTCGGCTGTGCAGGCTCAGGAGCACTGGGAGGAGTGACCACAGCAGAGAGCGTGCCTGGTTTGCAGGATTTCAGGTTCCAGGTTGAGCTTCTCCCTCATTCTGCCTGCTCCTCACCTCCAAAGGTCTCATTTAATCAATCTAATGTCAGAAGTTGACAGCAGGTATCCAGGTGTGTGACAGGGCTAGAGAGAAACCTTGGTAGACCCCCCAACAGGCTCTGCCTTGCAAGAGGGTAGGAAACTGGCCTCCATCCCAGAGGGAGCCCTTTCAGAAGTAAAGGAAGGTCATGGCTCCACATTCTCAGGAGGTAGAGGCGCTTGGCATGTCCGTCCTCAGACCTGTTTATGCCACCATCCTATAACAGAGGAACCTTGTCCCGGTCATGACATCTAACTGGACAATTTTGGCCAAGTCACTTAATTTCCTTGAGCCTCTATGTTCTTGTCTGGAAAGTGGAGCATTGAATTAAATGTCCTCTATTGCTGAGATTTGGGTTTATCTGAAACACTAAACTTAAGTCCTTAGGAAA